GGTATTCAAGTCCTGCTTCGTCCGAGGAGCAAGTGGTTTGCGAGTGACATGTCGTCACCCCGAGCCACTCGTCTGCCTGCTCTCGGGTTCCAAATTTAATAGCTATATATTATTATAAACCATATTTAGCAACCATGCCTCTACTTTCGGGAGTCCTGGACCGTGACCTTGTAGCTCTAGCCGGGCTTCGTCTCAAGCCTCAGATTGAGGGTTGAACTACACGTATTTTCTGGGATGAATCTATTATATGTGCAGGGCTTCGGATATAAGGTCATTAAGGCGTTTCGGTTTCAGTGTTGCAAGGACCTAGCGCTCACACACCTGAGTACTGTACATGGACTGGAAACCCAGATTTAAACGCAAGGATGCCGAAAGCCGCTACCTGTAGACCCAAACTCTAAGGATCACTCCCAGACCAGGGTTTAAAATTTAGGGTTTAGGGCGTAGTTAAGGAATATATCTCAATATTCGGAAAAGCCTGAAACACGAATTGTCATGTCGTTGGAAGAACGACATATACAACCCTATATCGTTAAACCCTTATTAGACATGCTAATAACCTTATTATAGCCTCGTAAGCATAGGATCCCAGTACTATGCCTGAGTGCCCCATAAACTAATTGGTGCGTCCGTAGTGCTTGCCGTGGATCGAGAGGACCTCGAAGTCGATGGAGCACCTTCGGAGTTAATTAATAATAATATATAGGATCCGGAGCTCTTAAGGGCTTGGGGCGCGGGCTTCGGGGTTGCGGGCATAATACAAGTCGATGGGGCCTGCATCTCGGCAGGTTGCTTGTTCGATCGATGGTCTCGGTGTCGATGATGCACCNNGGGCTGTGAGCACTGGGTTTACAAATCGAGGCTCCCCCAAGTCCTGATGCTCTGTGATTGTGTGATCGGAAATTTGCTTATTCGGAATCTAGCCGCTCTGATCACTGACGGGTTGCCTCCACTTCTGCGGTCAGCCCTGGAATGGTTTCTGGAAGTCGACGGCGCACCTGCAATATAGCTCTAGGATCTCAAATTTAAAATTCGGGTGTGTTCTCGACTATCTTATGCTAGGTTTGGGGGCTTAGGGGTTTGGGTGTTATAAGGCCGGATCTAGAGCTATATAGCTGTGTATAGGATTCGGGTTCGGGGACACAGCTAGATGATCAGATTCCACGAACTCGCTATGATTTCGTTGCCCGCCTCGACGGGCACGTCTAGACCTAGATCGGGATCGCGATCCTGCGCGAATTCAGTTGGAACACTTCTATGCTGCAGGTGACCCCGTCGGCTGCAGATGCGATCTTTCGGTGCCGCAGGACAGCTCATCCCTAGGATGCTAAGTCGACGTCAGGTTCTCCCGACGATCCAACACACACTCTGCAACTGTAAGGCAGAAGGATCAGCCCTCTGCACGTAGCTGCCACGTGTCTGCAAAATCTGAGCAGGAGCCAGCCCCTACATCAGGCTAGGCAACATCGCTCATCACAGGTTGCACCCCAGGCACGACAGAACGATATGGCCAAGTCTAGCATACGGTCTTCGGAAGAAAGATTAACTGGTAAGGTTGCCATTGTTGTACTCATCAACCCATCTACATAGTTGGCCACCCAATTCCATCATAGCCAGCAAACCTTTTAAACCTACTTCTTTGCAGCCTTCTTGGCAGCACCCTTGGGTTTTGGCTTCTCCTTCTTCTCGGCAGTAGTGTTTCTCTTGATTTGGCTCCTGATCGGCTCTGCCTTGACTTTGAAGTCCAGCAAAGCCTCCTGCAGTGCCTTGGGGGACAAGTAATAATTAACCAAATCCCTGGAGTAACACTACCAGGCTCTTCATGGGATATGCCAAGGTTCAACGACTCTGTCTTTCATGTCATCTTCTGAAAGCTTCTGCCCGAGACCAGTAGCCACCTCCTGCTTCGCGGAGGACAAGCGCTCCTGGCAGGGCTCGATGTCGGCCAAGAGGGCCATCCGGAAATTCTGGGACCTGAGCTGCACCGACTCTCAGGGTCTAGTAGTAGTAGTAGTACTAGTAGTAGTACTAATACTAGTACTA